ATAGAATCACGGGTCATCGTCATCGTCGATATCCCTCCTCTGCACGTCGCTACTGCTTCCTCCAGTAAGTCCAGTCTGAAAATATGGTGATTTACATTTAGAGTATGAAATTTAGCAATAGAAGACATGTATTATTAATATACATGTGTGCCAATGTTAAAATCTACATTGTCCATGACTTCTCCAAATAATTCACCCGGAATCTTGTCGGACAAGCACAATACGATGTGTGTGAAAATATCATCGCTAGTGGGGGATGGTGGCAAATCTGAAACCATAGCTTTCGTTAGCTGCATGAGTAGTGTATGGTCAATCTTACTGCACAAATAACAAGTGACGCATAGAATTGTAGCAATGGCAAAACTTCTTGTAGATGATCCTGTCACAGTCGAGAATGCTGAGGACGCTGTGGAGGATTTTTTGGATGTACACCGTGAAGCTCCAACCCCCATCAATGAAAATCTGCCCCGGTTATTATACCCCATCACATTCATAGCGATGGCATCATTTTCCTCTCTAGACAATACATGAGGGTCATCAACAGCTTCTTGGGTAGCACGTAGTGCTGCATCCTTTGACACGGCATCAATAGTATCCTAAATCACATAAGGAAGAGACATATATTTGATTGGCAAAAATGAATTGAACATGAACATATTACATAAGATATAATGATTTATTTTTAAAATTTTTACCACCAACACCATGTTTTCTTTAATCTTGACATCATCTTTATATGTCGAGCGAAAGGTGTCGTAAGCTAACTTTGCCTTCAAATTGATCGGCATTATCGGCTTCCCCTACAAATTATAATAAATTAAAATTGTTTGGCCATATTGATAATTGTAGCATGTGAATACAATATTTAAATATTATACCGTGTCTCGACAATAACGGTACTCAAGATTGGCAAAGGACATCGATCCCAAGTGGTGGTCAAGCTTGCGCTTGCTAAGACGGTTCGTCGAGCCCTTCTTAGATTTATTCTACAAAACAATATATGTTACTAAAGAAGAAATGTATCTACAAACTTTACTGCATATCAATATGAAAATGATCAATACTTGTGCTGACTCGGTATCCCAATAGAAAAGAAGCGTCGTGAAATGATTGAGGTCAACCCTCTCATCGACATTCAAATATCTCTGCCAATCTTGTGTATATTTATCATATGTTGATATCTTCAGCTCATGTCGCCACTGTTTGAGCACGGCCTCAACCTTTATATTGAAAACATAGTGCCACGCTCCAAGGTAATCCTCAAGACAATAGTAATTCTACAATTATGAGGCAGCTTAAAAATGCAAAATCATATTTACAAAAGTCACATAAGCAACACACTATTTGAATAAGGGAATATACACATAGTATTGACATGTTTGAATTTAGTTATTAAGAAGTGTAGGATGTTTAGAGACTAGAGTGAAAGTCAAGAGAAGTGAAAAGCAACATAATACAATTAAATGCAAATCTCATATATGTGAAGAGGGTCTACTGAATTATGTAAGGTTTCATAAGTAGACATTTGTTAGCATTTTTAATCTTTGAAAAACTCCAAATTTTAAAGTGTGACTGTTTTTTATCTTCTACCCTTTTTTTGTAATGCTTCAAAGTGGGACTGTTTCACTACATGAGTATAACTAGAGAGCACAAATATAAGGAACTCATTGTATGAACATATAAAATTCATCTTCTTATGTATTCTTATGTATTTTTGAAGCATTAATCAAGAATATCTAGTTTAATGCACTAAACTAGATAAACATATACCATCAGTTCTAAAACATATGTATTCTTATGTATTCTTATGTATTATGATTCCTAAAATATACAATTTTATAGTACTCAAGTATTAAAAAATACTGAACTAATGAACATATACCATCAGTTCTCTCCATATATCTTCGTATGCTTTCCATGGAAGCTCCTTGAATTTGAAGTACGGGTTCACTATAGTTGCTCTCCGTACTAAAACACCGATGTAGTTGTTCAATTTTTTCAACCAAGGCCCGATTAGCAAATTATCGGACCACTGAAGAATACCCAGAAATCCGCTTGGTGCTTGTTTTGAATCGGGCTTGCTAGCACCCCGTCCAATCTGACCAGCCGCATCTCGCTTCGCCCCTACATTGTCAACATGTTTAATACCCACTGGTTAGGTGAAAAAATGCAGCCGGGAATTAACAAATTTACTAATTTACCTCTCTCCACTTCTCTATTCATTGCAGCAATTGCAACTTCCTTTCTCACTTTCATCATATCCCTCAGTTCAGCTAGCCTTTTCTGTGCTTGCGGATGATTCTTCATGGCATTAGTTTTTGATATGATCGATTCTGGAGGCAATGGTAGATGACTAACATCCGGAGTCCAGGCACGTAAATCGGACCCCGCTGCTGGCTGCGAAAGTGAAGGTGTCCAAGTACCCTCTGAACATCAATAAATAAGATAGTCAATACGCTGACTTTGAAGTATCACTTAAAAAAGAGATGTAAACATACACTTTGAAGTATCAGTAAATAAGATAGTATGTAAACATACACTTTGAAGTATCAGTAAATAAGATAGTCAATAAGATAGTCAATAACCTGTAGTGGGGGATGCATGTGTATCACTGAGTCCGGGTGAAGAGTAATTTGTGCCTGGAATATTATCTATGCAAACTAAAAAGTGTTCACTAATAGACAATAGATCTAAAAATGCTAGAGTTATACTTTAAATATGATTGAATTATCAATATAAATACCTATATGAGGCGATAAAGCTAGAGTTGTGTCCCGCCGACGACCCGATAATTCAACATCATCTACACATATAAAAAATACTTAATGAGCACAAATTATGAGTTAAACATATTACTTTGAGTTGTCCAGAGATAATTGATAATTCAAACCTATATCAGTAGGTGATGCACGGTGTGCCTCATGAAGATGCTCTGAGCCTAGACTGGTAGACCTTGACCGATCACGCGATTGATCAAATAACCTTGTATTCTTCATCTGTACAATATGAATTAGGAGATGCAAAACAAGAAATATGTACATGCAATTAAATATTATCTTGCAATTAAATATTTACATAACACAATGCGATTACTGAATTGACTTATTAAAGATGTATACCTTCCGCGGGTTGCTATTTTTGTATTGAACGAGGTGAATCTAGTATTGTTCTGGCGATATTCAATGTTGTCTGTTTTCGCCTACTAATTCTTGACCTTGTATGCACATCTGAATCGGGTCCTCTATCTCTGACTAAAATTGGGATGTCAGCCTGAATCTCTGCGTCTGTCATATCAAGCATGACGTTCTGAGGGTAAGAGAAGTTTTGCCAAATTTCATCAGACGACCCAATTGGTTCATTGTCCTCATCACTATCATCGTTATTATTAGGGAGGACAATAGATCTTGGCTCCTTATACAACACGACCTAATCGTGTGCAACATTCGGGTCTTTCACATAGAAGCACCGGTCCGCCTGTTCTGCGAATATGAACTTCTCATCTAGATAAATCTCTTTGTCGAGATTTACAACTGTAAACCCATAGTGATCCCTACGCGGTTTGGCAGGACTCCATCGAACCTTAAACATTGTATATTTACGCTGAATTTGTTTGCCATATCCGTAAATTACCTCTACAATATCTTCCAACTGGCCGTAATATAATATGTCAGCTTCAACTGGGTTCTGATCTCTTATGCTTGAAAAACATTCCTGAGCAAAACAACTCATGACCCCACTATTTTGTGTTACCCTTTTATCATCGGTCGCCACTGTTTTAAACTTATATCCATTAATGGTGTGTTCAATATATCATCTTACTTCATAGTAAGGACATTGTACGTGAACTAAAATATCTTCAGATAGTACGACACCAGCGAGAACATCTTTCTCAACCTAAACCGAACATCAATCGAACAAAAATTATCTTTGTCTGCTTAAAAAATTTAAATTGAAAAAATTATCTTTGTCTGCTTAAAAAATTTAAATTGAAAAATACAATAATAGTGCTACGCTACTTACATCGGTTCTGAACCAATCGACAATAATAGTGCTACGCTACTTACATCGGTTCTGAACCAATCGGGAAAATCTTTGATGTGTTTTTTTTAATAGTATGTGCTGCATTCATGCCTGATATTTTAGTGTTAAGCTTCTCCAGATGTCGCCTATTAATACACCAATATGGTTGTATTTGTATAATGAAAGTAAATAATTCATCCAAGGTCAACATTGCTATATTAATATATATTACCTTCGATAATCGTTGAAAATGTCAAGATTATTCAATACATATGCATGAACCTGCTCCAAGTCAGATCTTTGATATTTTACGAGTTTCTTCTCCTTAGTTGGGGTTTGATCAGCTGTTACACGATTGCGCATGTAACGTGATGCAAACGTATGACATTCGTTGGTCACGTACCCTTTAGCCATAAAACCCTCTGGACGAGCTCGATTGCGAACTAGGTGCTTCATAAATCCCAAATATCTACAATAACTCAAACTTTATGAACTACAAATCAAGGGATAGGACAAATTAAAGATGTATACATTACATATGAAATTAATACCCATAGTGAAGTTCCTAACCTCTCAATTGGGTACATCCAACGGTACGATACAAGACCCGCAACTATTGCCTCTCTTGCTAGATGTTGAGTAACATGGACCATGATTGTGAAAAAGGAAGGAGAAAATATCAATTCCAGGTTGCATAAAACTAATGATATTTCCGTTTCAAGCTTTTTAAATTCATTCACATCTATAACTTTGGAGCACAATTTTCTGAAGAACCCACAATACTCCATAATAATTTTCGATGCATCTTTCTCCATATTATTACGTAATGCAACTGGGAGCAATTGATGTAGAAGAACGTGATAATCGTATGTCTTTAGGCCTAAGAGTTTCCTCTTCTGCACCTGAACATTATTTGATATATTAGCTGAATACCCATCTGGTGACTTTACTGATTTGAGGACCTCACAAAATCTCTGCATCTACTCTGTCGACATCGTAACACGAGAGGAAGGCTTATGTTTTTTCTTAAGACCAACATATTGTTCTTGCAACTCTTCTCGTATATTCAATGCAGCTAAGTCTTGACGAGCCCTTAGGTCATCCTTTGACTTATTAGGATCTTGAAGGAGAGTTGAAACTATATTGTCACAAACATTTTTCTCAATATGCATGACATCCAAGTTATGCCTGATTTTAAGCTTTTGCCAATATGGTAGCTGGAAGAAGATACTGAATTTACTCCATCCCTTTGGTAATTTATCGACTCCATTATCAACATATGCCCGTTGGATTGCTCTCTTCCTCTTCAGTGTCTTTTTCTTTTTCCCGGAGCCTCTAACTTTGAGTGAGTCGTACTTAGAATATCGGTTCTTACCAAATCTTATTTTTGGAAGATGCTCAAGCAACTTTAAAATATTAGCACCGGTCATTTGACGTGGTTTATTCCTAGTCTCAACAGTGCCGTCAAACTTATTGCTCAATTTTCTATATTTGTGGCCCGAGGGCAACCATCTCTTGTTGAACCAATAACAACATTTTCGACTATATGGTAAGTGAAGGCCTTCAAATTCTGGGTCACATACTGGACAAGCAAACTTGCCTTTTGTAGACCAAGCAGAAAGATTAGCATAAGCTGTAAAATCATTAATTGTCCACATTAGGATAGCACGAAGTCTAAACGACTCTTTTGCATGTGCATCATATATCAACATACATTCCGACCATAACTGTTTTAGCTCATCAATTAAGGGCTCTAAGTAGACATCAATATCATTACCTGGTGCATGCTTACCTGGTATCAGTAATGAGAGTATCATATACGGTTGTTTCATACAAAGCAGTGGGGGTAAATTATATGGCATTAAGACAACTGGCCATGTAGACCAACCTGAACTCATAACCCCGAACGGATTGAATCCGTCGCTAGCAAGCCCAAGTCTGACATTTTTGCATTCATGAGCGAAATTGGGAAAAGTCTTATCAATATGCTTCCAAGCCTCTGCATCATCTGGATGTATCAACTTACCATCTTCTATACGACCCTCTTTGTGCCACCTCATGCTCTTAGCGGTGTCTTTGTTCATATACAGACGTTGCAATCTAGAAACTAATGGAAAATGGTGAAGCACCTTAGCTGGAATCTTGCTCTGCATGTACACTGACTCTGTTGCCCGCCTTGTTGAAGAGCGGGTGTGTTGTTTCCATCGAGATACTCCACATGTTGGACATTCCTGAAGTTCTTTATTATACTTATAGTAGAGAATACAATCATTGGGACACGCATCAATCTTATTGTAATCAAGTCCCAAATCGGAAACATATAGTAGAGAATACAATCATTGGGACACGCATCAATCTTATTGTAATCAAGTCCCAAATCGGAAACAATTTGCTTAGCCGCATAAGTTGTTTTAGGAATGCTACGCTCTCCTCCTGGAACTACCTTCCGCAACAAATCAAGAAGCATTTCGAAATAAGTATTTGCCATTCCACTGAGGTTCTTAATATGCAAGAGCTCCAACATAAATGAAAATATGGAGTACTCGGTGCAACCCTCATACAGATTCTCTTCACTATCCTCTAGTAGTTTCATTATACGATCCAAGTCCTTAGGAATATGAGCATCTCCAAAGCCTTCTGGGTCATCAACATCTTGAATCTCAGTTGCATCTTGGACATCATCTACGATATCATCTTCACTATCATTGTTAATATCGTATTCGGTATGGCTAGGTCCACCTTCAGTTTGTAAATTTTCTGTATCATCTATATCAAGAGTATGACTGGCATTAACATGCACATCTGGTACTTCAATTTCAGTACGGCCTTCCCCGTGGTAGGACCAATATTTATATTCATCGTAAAACCCAGAGTTTGCTAAGTGACTTCGTATTTCATCTCTATTTTTCAGCTTCATATTCTTACACATATAACAGGGGCAGTACATTGGACCGCTACTTAAATTATTTGGGTTCATTTCGGCATACTTCATGAAGGCTTCACATCCATCACTATAACGTCGATCGCGAAACTGTTCAATCCTAGGGATATCTATCCATGACTTGTCAGGAATTTTCCTCATCTGTAGGTAATATCTAATTAGAAACTCTATTTGAGAATAGATAGTATACCCATATATTTTATACTATTCTTAAACATATGTTGCAGCATTTAAGTTAGGCTCATTGAGTTATGTTTGAAACTTATTAAGGTAGCTTCAACTAATTAGCACCGTCTAACGGCTGTCATAGGAAGGCTTCTATCCTATTAAAAATATAGTAGTGCTTACATCCAACTTCATATACTTTGTATATTTTCATTTCTTGAAAATTTCGGCAACACCTACCAGTTGTTCTCCCTGTACACTGTGCGGATGTTATTATGCGTATTGATAATATACCAAAACGCAGAACATACACTTATTGTACATGAAGAACAACAGGTACGAGTTGCCGAAATTTTTAAGAAATGAAAAGATACAAAGTATACAAAGTTGGATGTATGCACTACTATATTCCTAACTCGTCCGAGAAGGACAGATCCAATAATTACAACTTTATATACCAAATCTTTCCTAGTATAATATAAAATGAACGATCATTTTTTAGTAGAAAACTTTATCTCCTTCCCAAAAATTTGAGTCGTTTATCTTATATTATAACCTCAAAGAATTGGATGTAATTATTGGACGGGAGTCTAAAGATAACGTTATATTTTTTCACCTAAATTGGATATATAACACATTATTATATAATATTGTGTTATATATCACTCTATTCTTTTGAAAACATTTTCTTCCATAATTCACACTAAATTGAAAATATTGTTGTTAGCAAGACCACAAACATCCAAAACGGTCGGCACACAAGCCATCGGCGGCCAGTAACATAAGTTTTGCTTTATTGACGTCTCTGGTTGGAGTAAACAAGGTTCTAAATCTGTCTCATATCAATTTGTAGTTTCACATCACAAAAATATGTCCAGCACAAGAGTAAGCAGAAAACAAATCTCATATATTGTGATATTTCGTTCTTTGATTGTCATTATTTTTTTTTCTCTCTAGATATTAGCCCCTCAAGTCTTTTGTGTTCTGTAATTAGCCTCTCAAATCATTCAAATTGTTATTAGGTGGTCTAATTCTTAATATTCTGAAATTAATCCCTTCAATCAGAGGGCCTAATTTCAATATGAAACTTGCTAGGGACTAATATAAAAAAAGCCCTTATTATTTTCTTGATAAATAACCAAAAAAACCCTTATTATCGTTGTTATTAATCAAAAATCAAGATTAGTACCTTAAATATTCACTCATTCCAGTTCTCAAAATCTTCGAAATTGCTCATACGCCTACCAAATCATAACCGGTCTTGCAATCCGGTCCCCTCAATTAACCAAAATACCTCAGCTGAGATGTTTAGTAGGGCTTTTGGAAACGTATGCTAAGGGAGGGGGGATACTTTGTCCATTGAGGGACCAGTATGCAAGACCTCCTAGGATTTGAAGGACTTCGGAGCAACTCCAAAACTAATATGGAATTGTCAAAAGACTACTTGAGAGATTAATATACAAAAAATTTTAAAAATTTAAAAACAGCAATTTTCGAAGCCATACCTTGAATCCCAATCAGAAATGGCAGAAGCTTGAGGAGAGCAACCAAAATAGAGGAGGAAACAAGCTACAAAAGAGAAAAGCCTAGCTCAGATCTAGGGTTTCGTTGTACACGGGGAGAGAGAGGAGAAAGGGGTCGACCGAAACCCTAGCTCAGATCTAGGGTTTCGACGAGAGAGGAGAAGGGAAGAGGGGAGAGACAGAGGTTACCTGCGTGCGTACGTTGAGTCAGAACTTGGTTCAGGGTTTCTCGACGGCAGCGGGGTTTCTCGACGGCGATGAGGTTCGAAGGGCTGAGATCGAAGGGGCAGCGAGGGGGTTCGAAGGGCTGGGATCGAAGGGTTTCTCGGATAGGATCGAAGAGAAGGGGGAGTCTGAAATTTTCGTAATGATTTTTCAAAAGGGCCAGACCAAACCAAGTTCAATTTTCTTTACATGGGTCTCACTATTCTGGACGGATAATTCCGTCTATAACACTTCCTAGATGGAAATTTCCGTCTGGAATAGTGGGACCCACGTTCTTTTGAAATTAAACCATAAAAGAAAGGTACAGAAGTTATTCTAGACGAAAATTTTCGTCTAGAATACTCTCTAGACGGAAATTTCCATCTAGAATAAATTATTCCAGATGGAATAACACAGACGGAAATTTTTCATCGTTGTGTTTAGTATCCTAGACGGAAATTTTTTCGTCTAGGATAATCCGTCTACAATAATCTAATTTTTACTAGTGGTTGGGTTCTCCGGTTGTTCCTCCAATGATCAAGCCAATAATTGCTTATGTGGAGAAGAAAATAAATTGTAGAAGTTCTTGAATAAATTGTAGAAGTTCTTGAGCTTTTGAAGCAGGAATTGCTTACCTTTGTGTTGAGAATAGTCCTCCATTTATAGTAATAAAAGAGGGGTGGTTTGGGAACTTTGACCGAGTATGGGCTGGCGACTGAGTCAATACTAGCTTTACAGGTGTCGGCTGCTTAGTGGTGAGAGTCACTTTGGCATTTAATGTGAAGTGATAGGAGGCACGTGATCCCGACATGGTCTTGAAAATACCCTAGAGGGGGGTGAATAGGGTTATTACTAATCTTATTAGATATTAATACCGATTTAAAACTTATAAATGAATTATTCTTGCTAGATAGATATACGATGTAATATGAGCAAGAATGAGTAATATAAACAAAGTGCAATATCCTAACAATAAGATACACAATGAGATATATGCAAGGATAAGCAAAAACAAATGTGATAGGACAATAAAAACAATGATCAATGGAGAATAAAATAGACTAAGCAATAGACACAAATGATACGCCAATGCAAACTCTAACACACAAAGATGAATGCGGAGTTCGGACCATCCGTCCTACGTCTCCGCTCCCCACTCCCGGGGAGAAATTCACTATCACAACCGGGTTTTCTACGCTCACCCAAATAAAGTTTACACCCCACAATTTGGTTTTCTAGTTCACCGAAAACTTTACACCTTACACAATTGCTAATACACTTCACACCCTCTAAGTGTTGGCCTAGACCGTGTCACATTTCTCAAGCGTTCGAAATTACCACCTCTCACTAGGCTTTACTACCGACTCCACTCCTCTTGGAACAGACCCCGTCTCTCACCAACCACTTCTCTCAGTGTCTAAATATAATACAATGTGCAACTCACAATGAATCTCAAGTACAATAAAATGTTCTCTAATATGAATGAGAACTCATTGTAAGCTCAATCTCACAAATCACAATCCCACAACCCAATATATGATGTATGAAATGCTACAAGCTCAAATAGGGTGTGTGTGATAAAATGAGTATAAATAAAATCTAATTCAATTAGCAAACTAGCAATAATAAGAATATAAAAATCAATAAAAAAATTACTAGAGAAAAGAGTTAGAAAAACTTCTCTATAAACACAATAGAGGATGAAGAAGATTGAGGATGAATTCCTCAACTGAAAATACAAGCTTCCTCTTTGTAAACTCAAACTTAGAAACTTAAATAAACTTTAAAACACTTTAAACTCTTTTTTAAAACCTGTTGGCCTTCTTGTTTTGATAATGATTTACAAACAAGTTACATCTAATATTGTTTGTCTAGTGTTTGCGTCTTATATTTATTCTAGGCAAACAATATATTAGAGGATGGATGGAATCGAGCATTCACGATCATATCCAATGGAGGTTGGCGGAATTATGGAGTGAAGCCTATACAATTCAAGTTAAAGATTCAAGTTCAAGCTTCATCCGCAAGTATACCAAGATAGTGCTTCATCGAAGATCAATCAAGCTTGGATAAATTTAGTTTTAGGTTTATATTATGTGTATTAGTACTTTAAGCTCAATCATATACACACATACACGTTTTGGTTTTGTATATATATAGTTATATATATACATATATGTTTTGGTTTGATAGTTTTTAAGTTTTAATATGAAACAATTGAATATAATTAGAAAACATATTTTTGTTTCATACTTATATGCATATATATGATTTCATCAATATCAATTTTATTTAGTTCAATAAAATCTTTTTTTTGTGCATTATATGTGTATTTTGATAAAATACTATATTCATTATTTATAGACTTCATAATAATAGTTTACATCTTTCTTCAAGTCTATAAAATCATTTTGTATTGTTTTAAAACATGGTTAAGCTAAAATATCAAAACTCATATGTTCACATTTTTATGTTTTGGAATATTTTATAAAATAATGATATTTTTTATTTGTAAGGTCCTTTTTGAAAACCAGTTTTTGTAGTATGTTTATTATCATGTCTACAATCATTTCCCAAAGTTTTACATTTTTTTGAATTTATTTGATATTTTTAAACAGTATTTCAAAATCATCAAACTGCTTCTAAACCTGTTATTTCTTATATCTGTTTGCGGTCGACCGCCACGGTCTTCCCCTTAGTAGCCAGCAGAGACTTTCGTGGTTGACCATGACGGTCGACCGTCAGTCTGAAAAATCCCACGGTCGACTGTAAAAGTTTCTGGATTTTTCCTCAGGCTCGAAAGTAGCTCGCGAGATTTTCACGGTCGACCGCCGATCGCCCAACGGTCATTTTGGTACAGAATCAGATTTTTTATTCTTGGGCTTTTTGGTCTTTTCTTTTGGGGTTTTTGGCTGAGGTTTTGGGAGGCTATAAATACCCCCCTTGCTCTCATCTTTCAAGTATCAAAGAAGTTTTTAAAATAATGTTTAATAAGAGTTTAAGCTTGTTTAGTTTGTTTTAAGTTTGGGATTTTTTATTTACAAAGGAGGGAGCTTACATTGCAAATCGAGGGATTCATCCTCAGTCTTCTTCATCCTCTCCTTTGTGTTTATAGAGAAGTTTTTCTAACTCTTTTTTCTAGCAATTTTATCATTGATTTTTATATTCTTATTATTGCTAGTTTGCTATTTGAGTTAGATTTTATTTCACTCATTGTTTACACACACCCACTTGAGCTTTTCGTGTTTT